AATATGCTTTACAGACAAAGAAGGATTATATTACACAATCAGAAACTCTGCAGCAACATTTTCAATGATATTTGCTTTGATATTGGCTCTTCTAATTTAAATAAAAAATGAGTCATTTATTATGTTGTTTTGATTTTAAGATATTAATGTATATATCAATTTATAAATTGTTTATTTGTATACCTTTTTTATAAGTGGTTTGGTTTTTAATTTGTTTCTAAACTTCAAATTATTTATACAATATTTATTTATGTTATTATTACTAAAACGATTAAATGATTGAATGAAGAAAACAATTTAGCGAAAAAATCAATTTGAATAAATTCCAAATATGAACAAAATTTAAAATTTAATTCTTGTAAAGTTATAATTGTATTTGTTATTTTTATTATAAATATTATTTTTAATATTATAATACAATAATTAAATAGACAAAATAATATGGCAAAAAACAATTTCAATTGAAATTGAAATTAATTGAAGTTTTACAAAATGTCAGTAAATTAGAAGAAACGCCATTTGTAAAATGGTGCCATTAAATCACTGAATTATCCTTTAACAGTCTTTGTACTTGGAAAAAAAGTCTTTAAGTTCAAAATTAATTTTGACAATATAAATGTCAAATACTATATATTTCAAAGGCAAGTCGGTTTTTACAATTACACATGACCAAAGGTTATTCAACTTTCAAAAAACACAATATATAATTTACAATAAAGTGCATTTGCACATTGTATTGAACTTAAAAATTTACAATACCGAAGAGTGTGAAGCAAGTTGGAAAAATTTGTTTTAATGGGCGTGTCATGTTTAGAGAAATAAATATTCCAATTTCAGTTATTTCAGTTGGCAGATAGTGCTTTTCAAAATGTGAAACTTATTCAATTGTAAATATACCACAAAGTGTCACTTTAATAATAAACAAGTGCTTTTCTAAGTGCTGTAAATTGCTCAGTACAAAAATTCCGAGTGATATTGTTATAATTGGAAATTTAACATTTTGTCACTGCAAATCGATAAGAGACGTAGTTATACACAAAAAAAGAGACAAGGCTTGGGATGTCTATGTTTATGTATGTAAATAATTGAGTCGTGTTGAATTGGAAAATAAATTTGGAATAATTGGAAATATAAGTTTTAAAAGATGTCAAATTTGAAAGACATTGTATTACCTGTTTGTGTTTCGAGAATCTGAAATTAAACGTTTGAAGAAAGTACAAACGTTGATAG